CCATGCAGGTGAGGAGCCCCGAGGCAGGGGCTGGGGCTGGGGTGAATGAGACTCCAGGTCTGGGACAGGCCATAGGACTGAGCCATGGGGGGCTTGTCTAGGAGTGCGGGGGGGGGATGCCTCCCTTCTACTGTGCACACCTCTGGGGAATGGGGGGCATGTGCCCCCCTGGATTTGTGAATGGGGTGGAGGCGGGCTGCCTGCTGCAGGCTGGGGCTCTGCGCCTTGCTGCCTTTGCCCTGGGAGCTGCGCGCTAGCTGTGCGTCCCTTGCCTACGCAGTGGCAGAACGCATAACATAGCATCATGCGGCTCCTGGGGCAAAGGCAGCAGGGCGCAGAGCCCCAGCCGGCACCAGACAGCCCACCTCTGCCCTATGCACAAATCTGGGGGGCACATGCTCCCCACGTCTCGTTTGGGCGTGCGCACAGTGGCGGGGAGCTGCCCTCCCATGCACCTGGACGAGCCTCCTGTGGCTCTGTTCCTGACCTTCCCTGGCCCTGGCCCTGGCCCTGGCCCTAGCCCCAGGGTCCTGTTCACTCCAGCCCCTGCCCTACTCCTTCCCTCACCATAGGGGCCTTGATCTGCTTCCCTCCTTCCCCCACTCCTTCCTTTCCCTCCTCCACAGATTTATCTACTGGGTGCTGCTGTACACACTGCTGGGCTGCATTCCTGGCTGCATGCATGCTGCAGCTGCGCATTTGCATGTGGTGTCCCAATGCAGCACCGATATATCAGTGCACCTCTAGTCTGTCTTTGTCTGTCTGTGTGGCCCCTCCACTGCCCCTTACTGCTGTAGCAGCCCAGAGCCTGTGCTGCCCTGCAGCTCCTCTGTACTACCACCACTACCCAGCTGGGTGGGCCAGAGGTGGCAGTGGCAAAGAGGAGCCCAGGTGCAGACTCCAAAACCACGTGCATGATTAACATGCTAAAAAGTAATGCATTAATTGGTTCTTGCATTAATCACGCATGTTAACAGTGATTAGTTAACAACCCTAATAATAAGTAATGTGAAGGGGCATCAAATTATGTTGTATGGCAGCCATACAATGTTTCATCATGTCTATAAAACAGTACCAAAATTTTTTAGTTTTGGCTGAGTTTCAGTGTCTAGTTTTTTGGGTTTTTTTACACTTTTAGCAACTGCAGTTTTAACTGGTTTAAACATTTCTAGTAACAGATGTTTCTTGCTTGAGAACTCCAATCATGCCTCTCTTGTTATAAAAAAAAAATATATTTTAACCGGATGTTTTAAACAGAGTATATGTTTGCAAGGGCAGATCCAGAGAGAGTGCTGTGGCATGGTTTTATCCCTGTTTTGGACCATGGTGAAGAAGCAGCAGCTGGAGTCTATATTTAAGTCCCTGAAGCAGCCAAGAACTCTGCCTCCCCTTGGTTCTCCCTCATTTCACCATTGTGCCCAGCAGCACATCCCTTCCCTTTTTACTTCCCCTGTCTGCCCACCCCTGGCTCAGCCAGGGACAGGAGCAGGCAGTGTGTGTTGGAGGGATGAAAGGGGAAGGAAGGTACCACTGAGCAAGGAGGGGAAGAGAGGGAGTGCTGAGGGGCAGAGCTGGGTTTTTACCTGCTTCAAGAACTTAGTCCTTGGCCGCTGTCCCTGTGATGTTGTCTACCAGTCTGCCTGGGGGAGGACGAGGGGCCAGGGGCAGATGGCGACTGGGAATGGGGGAATGCAGCCACCCTAGCAGCTCTGTTCATTGCTCCTGCACTATTCTTTCCAAAATCCTGGATCTGCTCATGTGTTTGCTGTTTATTTCTCATTCAATATATTAATCTCTTTTACCTTTTTATATTCCCAAGATAGGCTAGCTTTACTTTTGTTGCTGAGTTTCTAATGTTGTCCCTTCTGTGGTGATATAGGCCATAGAACGGACTGGGCAGTACTGCTCAGAGCAGGGAATACCATTCCCAAAAATTGTGCTGAGTGAAGAGGAAAAAAAGCATCCGAAAGAGTGCTATATGTTTATGGATGAAAAAAATCTAAAGACTCCCATAGTTCTCCATTTCCCACTGGTGAACAACACATTCAGGAGGTTCAAGGTACTTGGTAAGCAGCTTGAATATCAACAAGAGAGAATTTTAATGCGTAAAGAATCTATCCATATTATAAAAAGTGTATCAAAATTATCTGTTGGCTGTCCAGTAGAAGATGTATATGGCTTATTATTGTTGCCAACTAAATGGAAAAACTCTTCTTGGATACTATAGCCAGTGCCTTTTGGAACTGAAGTTCATCCTTTCTATTCAGTATGCTCAATGTATGCAGTGTGGCAACCAGATGTCATGACCATTGCTATTTCCCATTTTGCAGCAGTGAAGGTATGAATCTGTAAATACTGTTTACTTAAGTAACTCGGATTTAGGTAGTAGCAGGACCTTGATCACTGTAATCAACTGTATCCCACGTGGATGCCAAGATAATAGACTGCAGGACACTGAAGGCTTTGGATCTTCAGAAGAGGGGATTCTGGCATCTTGGAATTATTTGCATGTTTGATGTTGATGCCAGATATTTTTTGCCACTTGTTCTTGCCTCAAGTAAATCCAGTGTTGAATGGACTATGGTCAATAGAAATTTCTTCCATGGCCAGTATAGAGAATCCTGCATGTCTTTTTGTCATTCATGGGAATTGATAGTGTGCCCTCCTCAGTCACGTAAGCCATTCAATTGCCCAGCTGTTCCAAAAGCAAAGAGTAAAATGGAAACATTTTTATATCACAAGAAGGAAAATTTACTTTCTCTAGGTTGGTACCTTCATAGATGTGCAAGCCTACTTAATGATAAAATGTCACTCTACATTTCCTTTCAACATTGAGCAAATCAAGTTGGTTTTCCTTTTTTACAGGGGTGGAACGCAGTCCTGCAGAGTTGGCAGAAGGAACAGTGCCTCTTGCTGGCTGCTGCTCACCTTATAACTTACTGAATATGACCTACTGCAAGGAGGACTTTGATAAACTGCTAAAGCTCACTGACTACAACGTCCAGAACAACAGAGACCTGATTCTGCAGGCTTTCCGCGCATCCATATCACGAAAGAAATGCTGTAGCAACTGAAATGATGCAAGCCTTGGGAGTTCTTCCATGCTATGCATTTCCTTTAACATGACAATAAGGAGAATTCCTCATGATCATGATATGATTTAATGCATTATTCATTAGATGTACAACATAAAAATGCTTCAGATTTAAAACTCAGTTCTTTCTAATATTACACCAATATGGTCTTGAGTCTTGACCATGAAGTTAGAATTTTTATGTAGGAGTGGCTGGTTATTTAATAAATAGATAGTGTGAATCTCAGCCAGATCTATGCTGACCATATGTTACTATCCAGCGGTGACTTGCAGAAAATAAGTTGGCATTCTGTCCAATGGTCATGCATCCAGGTCACAAAAACACTTCCACCAGTGACACCTTTGTTGGCAGTCGCAGCAGAGAGAGGAAGAAGTAAGCAAGCCGTGGAGATGGAGAAATGTGTTAAAACCAGAAATGGATGCTGCAGATTTGAAATAAGGTGAACTGATGATCTTAGAAAAGTATTCCCTGCTCCTGCCCATCTGGTGTTTGGCTACATGGAGAACTTTATTTTCTAGGCCTGTCAAGCTCCCACCTTTCCCAAGTACTAAAATTCACTTTAAAGAGGGAGAGGTAGGTCTGAAATTGGATACTATCAAATGTCAAGTCCAGGTGCAGCATCTTCAGTGTTTTTCTGTTTCTTTCCAACCACAGAGCTCATACAGACTTTAAATTTAACAGTCGTAAACAGTGACTTGTAAGCAGCACAGAAACAGAGTCGTGGGACTCTTCAGCCTGGAAAAGCGCAGGCTCAGGGGTGATCTGGTGGCCACCTAAAAGTTTATCAGGGGTGACCACCAGGATCTGGAATGTCTGTTCACCAGAGCACGCCAAGGGGTGACAGGGTCGAATGGTCACAAACTCCTCCGTGACCATTTCAGGCTGGACATAAGGAAGAACTTCTTTACTGTCCGAGCCCCCAAGGTTAGGTTTGGAATAGACTGCCGCCAGAGATGGTTCAAGCACCTACTCTGGACGTTTTCAAGAGACATCTGGATGTTTATCTTGCTGGGATCCTATGACCCCTGCTGACTTCCTGCCCCTGGGGCAGGGGGCTGGACTTGATGATCTTTCAAGGTCCCTTCCAGCCCTGATGTCTATGAAATCTATGACTACTCACCTATGACAAATATGCAGGAAATTCTCAACACGAGAGTTCTCACCATGTATTCATGAATTGGGCAAAAACAACTGTAGAATTTAAGAAAGAGTGAAGAAATTATTTAAACAGGCCACCATCTACTATAAATGTTGACCATTATAAAACTACTGACCTTAATTTTTTTTCATGAATCACTGCCATTTTTAAAGAACTCCACTGAATGAATTAGCACTGGATCTCATCAAAAGTGTTTAAAGGAAAAACACAACATGTGCTATGCTCTGCTGGTCTTACTTTTTCCCAAGAGAGGTTTGGGCTGGAGATGACTGAGACATAAAGTGCTTTCCATATGTAAGTCAATTTTTTATGCTTCGTGACATGCACATGTCTTGGATAATGCTGCTGCATCACTGCCAGCTGCACTGCTTGTGCTATGGTTTGCTGCTAGCCTTCAAATTGGAACTTGAGGCTTTCCTCCACCTTGTCCCATTGAATGACTTTGTATGTTGATTCTAATATGCCAAGTTAATGGGAAAAGAAATCAGCCAATTGTGTGTATAGCAAAAGCATATCTACTCCTTTTACCATTGCCACCCTTTTGTCTTCTGTTTTTGCTGTCATCATTAATTGAATATATTTAGAGAAATAAATACAAATGTTCTGAAAGATCACTACCTTGATTAACATAGAGATTAAGCCTCTGTTGTTTTCTTATAGTGTGTCCCTACTGGTACAAATTATGCTGGCAACTGTGCGAAGCGGCTAGTATTTGGTTCAGATTTGGATTCAGCTGATTCGGGGGACAGTGATTCAGTTTGGTGATTTGAATCACTGTCCCAAATCAATTTGCCTGAATCTGATTCAGAGATTCAGCTACTGCTGAATCAGCCAAATCGCTGAATCACACAGGCCCCATCCCCTGCCTGCTCTCAATGGCTGCCCTGCCCAGCCAAGCTCCCGGCTCTTTGAAAAAAAAAGCTCCCACTCACCAGCTGCTGCCAGGTGGGGGGTGATCCCCACTGCCCCATGCCACATGGGAGGGCTCTGTCATGAGCCCCCTGACCACCACCCTCTGTCCCAACCCCCGTAAGGCTGCTCCATTCGCCCCAGAACCCGGCCCTTTAAAAAAACAAACAACAAAAAACCCTGAACTCACCAGATCCAGCCCAGGAGGGGGCAATCCCTGTTGCCCCCTACTGCCCCACGCTGCATGGGGGGCTCTTCCACGAGCCCCCAGAAGCCCCAAGGCTGCTGCAGCAGCTGGTGAGTGTGGGGTTTCTTTTTTTTTTTTTTTAAAAGGGCTGGGAGAGCGGTTGGAGTTCGGGGGGCTCATGGCAGAGCCCCTCATGCAGTGTGGAGCAGTGGGGACCACCCCCCTGCCTGGCAGCACCTAGTGAGTGGGGGCTTTTTTTAAATAATGGGGCCAGGTGGGGCAGCTATGGGGGGGCACTGGGGGGAGCTGAGGGAGCAGGCAGAGGATGGGGCCTGGTGTGGGTTCCCCCATGGCTCCCTTCCTCTTCTCCAGCCCCTTCCCCCATCCCCTATTTCCCAGCAAGGTAAGAGGAGAGCCTGATCTCCTTTCCACTCTGAGACCCCAGCCTCTTAGTCCTTCACCCATCCTGGTTCTCTGTGACCCTCACTCAAAGAACCAGCATCCAGTTCTGCTCCTGAGGGAGCGACATCACCTCCTGTTGTGGTGATTCAGTGCAACCCACAGTTCCAAGAAGCACAGTGGATGGTCTTCCAGGCATTTACTGGAGCAGAGGCAGAGGCCAGCAGCCAGAGGTTGTCTGTCCCCTCCAAAGGGCTTAAGCAGTTCCTCTCTCCCCACTTCAGCCTGCACAGCCCTGACCATTCCAAAGATAATCAGCTGTTCATTTCCAATCTCTTTAGCTCCCTAGAACTTAACTATTTGTCTTAGCCACCAAACTCTTCTGTTCTGAGACCTGCCAGATGGTTTTTCCACCCAGTTCTCCCTTTTGTGGTGTTTATCTTGACATCTACTGGCTGCTGCCCATCTCATCTTTGTTGATATGTCAACAAAACCATTCAAGACTGCTTATGCTAAAGGTCCAGTCCTGTACAGGATAAGGAGGTAAACAAAGTCATATGATATTATAACAACATGAACACAATTAATACATGAATATCATCATAAAACCTGGTGTTTGTCACACTGTGCATGTCCAAGACTAGACAAGTAAATGTCCTTTTCACAACTTGGATGTGAAAATCTGTAGTGTAACTTGGATGTGAACAGGGCACCAACTTTGCGCACCAACTTAATGCGGGTGCCAGAATGGTGCCCTTGCCTATAAAGAGTCTGCGCCCTACCAACAGCAGCAGCTGGGTGCACAGACACTGCGGATGTAGCAGCAACAACTGAGGTAGGCAGATCTTGTCACAGCAGTAGTAGCTTGGGGACTTTTTTGAGTCCCTAGAGCAGGTAAGACTCCATTTCCTCAGACCCCTCTGGCACTGAGCAGCACATCTCTTCTCCACTATTCTGCAGAAGGGTTTGCCCAGGGGGCAAGCTCTGCTACTTATGCCTCTACTGAAAATAGTATTTGTTAAAATACTAATCTGCTATGTAGTTCCAAAAACAACAGTAATGAAATAAATCTTTGTGTAACAGTAAAACACACTGATCTTTTTCACCCCTACCTGTTTAATCAATAGTTATAGTTGACCCATTTCACTAGGTGTACTGCACTAAAAAGCAAACAAAAAACCATCCACCCACTTTTTGCGCCCAAGAGCAAACAAATCTTTGCTCCCCTTGTTTTTATTTGTCATCTTCACCTTCTCTGTTCTAGTTCTCTGATTAATTCCCTTCATCTGTTTAGTTTGAATGGGTCTTCCAAGTAATGCAACTGCTTGTTGTCTTGCTGTTCTCTGGCAGACATGAGAGTTTCAAAGAGCAATCACTTTAGGCTTCTACTATTGACTTTACTTGGACAATAGTGTCAGCTTTTCAAAGGAGAAGTAGCTTAGGGCTGAATAGAGTGTGCTTTCTTTGAAGATCAGTTACCATCTCCGTTGGCACTGGGTTTATGACCCAGACACCTTGTTCTGGGTGGACCCAAACCCTCAGATTGATCATGACCTTTCCATTCGATTAATAGGCAAATTTTATTGATACACAGTGATAGCAGATAAGAATAATTCAAACAATTTTATATCTACCATTCCCAGAGTTCAGAGAGTCATGATATGTCTGACCAGTATGCGAGCTTCACCCTGAGGTTCTCTCTTGAATGTCAGATGTCAGCAGCCTGGAGGTTGGAAGCTGAGCTGCTCCCTACCCCCCTGCCCCCAGTGGAATGAATGAGATGGGCTGGTGGTATGCCCTCTGTCCATGGTGGCCTCAGGTTCCCTTCCCAGGGTCACTTTGCTGCTCTGAAATCCCTTCTTTTGTATCTTTTCCCCCCTGTGATGACTCTTCATCTTCGAACATAGTTAATTGGTTTTTCTGTGGTTGTCATATTGTCCATGTTCTGTTCTGTTCTGCCGGCATATTCCTTTGTTTCAAAAACCCATCGCATGCACACACCCTAATTTAGTTCTTTCCGGTGTCCTAAATCGGTTCTGTTCCCTAAAAATGGAAATCCCACAGGCTCTGCAGCTCGGCACTGTGTCCTGTCCAACGTGGCAGAGTCCCTTATTTCATGTTATGGAACAGTGTGGCATTAATTTCCCAGCCTGTGTGTCTTCTTGCTGTTTGCCTGTGTAAGACACAGTGGGCCTTGAAGGCACAAACAGGCTTTTATAAATCAATTAATCCTTGCTGTTGGCCTGGACCATTGTTCTAATGCAATATCTATTTTGCCTACAAGCCAGTTTCCAAAAGCAAAACTCTAAATGCCATTCTATAGCCATCAGTCTGGACAGAAAATATAGAGAAGACAGGAATGCTAAAGAAAAAGGTTGGGTATGGGGAGGAGAAGTGGGGAGGAGAGGGAGGGAGAGACAGTATTGAGATGAAAGGGAATGATGTTTTCACTTTTTAATTTGTCCTTAGAAAGCTGATTGGCCTCAGAGGGCTCTAAATTTTATCAGCGATTTCTTTTTTTCCTCTCAAACACCATGGACTAGGGTTTAAACATGTTTTGTTTTTAAACTGTTTATGAATGTTTGAAAAGATAGGGGATTGGGGTAGAAGTGAAGCAGCTCAGTACTACAATTAGGTGCTTGTGTTGAGACAGTTTATGTGGGCCAAGAGG